TGGATAATTAGATTAAACTCATCATAATTTCTTCTTCTTTCTCTAGAAATTAAGGAGTATGAATTAATGGAAGGAGTTACTAATAAGAAAATTAATTAAGAATAATAAGTATAATATTTAAAAAAATAATAAAAAAATAAAACGAACAGGTCAACTCATTAATTCACGGGTTGACCTTAACCCAACTCGTGACCTGTACGAATTGATAATATGGGTTATCTATGAGTTGCAAGTTGGGATATGTAGATCCTAACCCATTTTTACAGGTTGAGTTAAGGTCAAGTTGACGGATCGAGTGGATTTTTATCAGGTTTAATTTCTCTATATTTTTAGTTAATCCCTATTTTTAATGAAGCTCGGTATCTAATAGCATCTTTAATGAAGACTGAGATACGTGTCTTCTATTGAGACTCACATTTCCTCTTATAAACATCTTTCATGTGTCGTATACAGCTCATATACATAGAAAATGAGAAATTAGGAGTCAGGCGGATGTCAAATCACAACCACAAAAACAAGTGAGATATAATGCCGGTTACAACTTTATCTTATCCATCAATTGTGTTATTATGGTTAGATTTTTTTTTTTTTTTGAAAATTGGAGTGGAACTCCAACACTATACTTTCAAACTTACATAAAAAGTTTCTAATATAGGGATGGTGGTCACTAGACCACTAAGATATTTTTTTTTTGGAAAAAGGCAAGCTTTTCCATTGCATGTAAACCACATATCCACAATAATCACCCAAGCATACTAGGGGTTAACATCTTCTAATACTCAAAATTGCAATTTCAAAAAGTAAGAAATTCTCCTATTAATGTTATCTATTGTACTTGACTTGTCCTTAAACAAACGCATATTTTGCTCCTGCCATATGTAGTATATTGAGGCAGCTAGTGCAGCACGGAGCTTCCTCTTAATAATAGCTCTTCCTCTTCCATGTCGTAGTATCCATCTCCATTCATTTGTCCAAGACAAAGGTTCCCTCTTAATTTGAAAAAATCCCAAGACAAGCTTCCAAACACTTCTGGGAAATTCACATTGGAAAACAAGATGCTCAATATTTTCCATACTTACCCCACAAAAACAACATTCTAGATCAATGATCATACCCTTGGATGCCAAGAAGACTTTAGTCTTCAATCTACCACGCACAACCAACCATAGAATAAAACTATGCTGAGGAAAATTTCCACTTGACCAAACTAGTCTATGCCAATTAACTTTCGGTTACTTAACTCTCAACAAATTATAGCAACTAGCAATAGAAAAGCAACCAGATATAGTGGGCCTCCACACAACCTTATCCTCCTTATCTTGGAGATTTTTAGATGATATTAACTGGGCAAGGGAAGGGTACTTACGAACAAAACTATCCGGCATATGCCAGGCCCCAGCATCCCACCATTTAGCCACAACACTGCCATGCCCCCATGCCATCAACTCTTCTCTAACTTGTACCCGATCACATAGTCTTCCACCTTCCAACCACAGATCATAAAAAAGAGATGTCTGCCTACCATCCCCAATTTGAACCCAAACTTGGTCTTTAATACTAGTTCTCATCTTCAAAATCTGCTTCCAAGACCAGGAACAATCATTTGGTAACTTTACTTTCCATATGCTTTCCCCCTTTAGTAGAACTACTTGAGCCCATTGTACCCAAAGGTCTTGTTGGTTTTTACAAATTAGCCAAATATACTTGCACAAAGCAGCTCGATCCCAACTAGCTAACTGCTTAACTCCTAAGCCTCCCTCAGTTTTAGGAACACAAATATCTGACCAGGCCACAAGTGCCATTGCTGATTGATCCCACTTTCTTGTCCAAACAAAATTCCTAAAAGCAGCATCAATACTCTTAATAACCTTTTTGGGTAGCAAGAGAACTCCACTCCAAAAAACTTGGATATGAAACAATACAGAGTTCACCAATTGAATTCTGCCAACGTAAGAAAGAAATTTGGAAGTCCAAGAACAGATACGATGTCTAATTTTATCCACCACTGGCTGGCATGTAATAGCAGAAAGCTTAGTGGAAATAAGGGGCAGACCCAAATATTTCACAGGTAATTGCCCTTCATTGAACCCTATTTGATTTAGAATATGCCTTTTCAATACATTTGACACACCTCCAAAAAAAATTTGGCTTTTTGAGCTATTAATAACGAGTCCAGTAGCCGTTGAGAATTTATCAAACAAACTTCTAATAATAAGAGGAGAAGCCTTATCAGCTTTGCAAAACATCATCACATCATCAGCAAAAATTAAGTGCGTCAACTTTAACATCCTGCACCTACTATGATATTGAAAATCCTTATTTCCCTCTAACTCTTGCAATATTCTTATCAAATATTCCATTACAAGCACAAAGAGATATGGGGACATTGGATCACCTTGCCTAAGTCCTCTTTTCCCTTGAAAAAAACCATAAGGTTGCCCATTTAATACCACAAAAAAACCTAGCTGAACTCACACATACCATGATCCATCTTACAAACGTAAGAGGAAATTGCAGTTCAATTAACAAACTCTCCCAAAAACCCCAATGCACTGTATCATAAGCTTTCCTCAAATCAATCTTCATCAAACATCTAGGGGAACCCCCACTTCTATGATAATTCCTGACCATATCCTGACAAACAAGGATGTTTGTTGTGATAGATCTCATCTTCACAAAAGCAGCTTGATTAGCACTAACTAGAAATTTCAGTACCTTAGTCATCCTCTGAGCCATCAACTTTGTAATTACCTTATAAGTAACGTTACAACATGAAATAGGTCTAAAGTCACCCACAGTATTAGGACAATTTGTCTTGGGAACAACACTAATATTGGTAGCATTAACCTGCCCAAGTAGTTTCCCACTATGAAAAAAATTTAATACTGCTGCAACAAAATCTACATTAACAATCCCTCAAGCTGCTTTGAAAAAACTTGAAGTAAAACCATCAGGCCCAGGTGATTTATCGTTAGGTATAGTAAAAAGGGCATCCTTAATCTCCTCTTCATTAAAGGGCCTACACAATCTTAGGCTCTCCTCATTTGAAAGTAACCTTCCTCTTTTAACTATAGCAGAATCAATAGAAGGAACCCCTTCAACAGAGGTACCAAATAAATTTTGGAAGAAATTAACAAATTCCTGGCCAATGTCATCCCTTTGAGTAATTCTTTTGCCAGCTTCAGTAGTCAAACTAGCAATATTCCCTATGTGTTGTTTCTTTTGCACTATTGCATGAAAATATGACGAGTTGGTATCAACCTCTCTAAGCCAATCAACTTTAGCTTTTTGTGTTGCCAACATTAGGTCAGTTTCAACTACCCTTTCATATTCTCGAGTAGCTTCCTTCACTTCCTATATTATATGATCATTAAAAGGATCAGACTACAATGCCTCTTGTTTCTTAATAAGCTCTTCCTTTGCACAAGAAACCCTCTACTGCAAACCTCCAAACTTAGCTCGATGTAGCTTCTTCATTTGCAATTTAACTGCCTTGAGTTTTTGCACTAGGACATACATAGGGCAGCCTCTTACCTCTTGTTGCCAAGCCAGCTTTACTAAATTCAAGAATTCCTCATCCTTCGTCCACATATTACAATATCTAAATGCCTTATGCAGAACGTTAGAAACAACCTCCATTGTAATTACACATGGAGAATGATACGAGATACTAGCATTTAAAAAGCATGCAGCAGACATAGGAAAAGTTGTAAGCCAAGCAACATTGACTAAAGCCCTATCCAATTTGCAATAAAGCCTAGCCTCACCATAGTGATTGTTACACCAAGTGTAGTAACAACAAGTAAACTTTAAATCAAATACCTCACATTTGTCCGCAAAGTTCTGAAGTTCAAAGGTATCACTAGGCACTATTTGTCCTTTCTTACATCTTTCTTCCTGCTTAAGCATAGTATTAAAGTCCCCTAATACAATCCAAGGTTGGTTTTGAGCACCAAAAAGATCAAGACTCTACCATAAAGACTCCCTTTCACTTGGAGTATTAAAAGCATATTTAATAGTGCATAAAAACTTCACCCTAGAATTTAAAACCACCACATGACAGTGCAAGAATTGATCTCCTTGTGTAACTTCAGTCACCTCCACCCTTAGTTTATCCCACACCAACCAAATCCTACCATTATAAGCACTATTATATGTATGCAACCATCCCCATTTATCTCCTAATTTTTTAACTATTCTACTACTATTCTCATATTTCACTGTAGTCTCTAGAAAAGCCATAACTGATATATTATTTGTCAATAAAAAATTCCTACCCTCTACTTGATGAGAAGGGTCATTAAAACCCCTCACATTCCAAAAAGCAACAGTGACCATTTATTTAAGAGAGGGGAAAAAAAACCTCCCCCAGCCGCTTGCATCCCATCCTCCTTAGCAAGAATTTGTCCACCAACAGCTTCTTCACCAGCTTGTCTTGAAAACACTTCCGGAAACAAAGCTGTCACATTACCATCATCAACAACAGTTCCTTTGACATGGTCAGATTCCATTATAGGCATTTCCTTATCAACCACCACCGTAGACTCTAGTGCTTCATCTTGCTTGCACTGTTGGAAAACAACCTCACTAAGTATATTAGGCTCAACTTGTACCATAGTTGCATCAACTTGTTGCATACTAGGCTTAATAAGCTGCTTCTGTTCCACAGAACCTTTAACTACCCACATCTTCTTAATTTTAGCCTTACAATTCCTTTCCTCATGTCCAAGGTTACCAAAGTTTCCACAGCACACTGGGGACCATTCAAAGATTATTGGTTGCTGGAAAATACCCTTGGGCCCAACTACAAGTACCACCGGTGGTAACTCCTCCATAATCTCAACTTCCACTAGCATCCTAGCAAAAGACACTTGCTACCTCTTAGCAGTCAATGCATCAGTAGCAATAGGAACACCCAAGTAATTGGCCATTTTGCCTAAGCTTTCAGGATTCCAAAGACTCAAATGCAAATCAGGAAACTGAATCCACACGGGTATTTTGCTAACATCTTGGTTATTAGGATCAAAATCAAGGGTCCATTGTTTCAAAATTAGAGGATGGTCCTGAAAAGTCCATCTCTTTTCTAAGACAGCCTGCTTCGCCTCCCCATCCGCAAAATCAAACAAAAATACACCATTCCTAAGTGAAAAAACCTTTGGTACTTGGAATTCCTTCCATCTTTTATTAGCATAATTAGCCATATCCTTGAAATGAGGCTTGCATCCAAGGACATAACCAACTAAAGCATTCTCCCATACCTTGGAACCATGATACCATTCATCCTCGGTAATCACCACAGCATTAGAGGGGTCTTGAGGTTTTACATATTGCAACTCCCATCCCTTCTTAATATCCTTATTTCCTTGCATTATCGATGATCAACTTCTAACTGGCTTCCGTAGTGGCTAAGTCAGTACTTCATCCTTCTCTCCATCAACCAAATCAATCCACCGAACTCTAGGAGTCTCAGTCTTTACACCCGAAGAACTAGCCCCATTGGTACCAATTAAAAGCTTAGCAGGGGATTCTGGAGATTGGGTATTTGAACCCACTACCCTTTTACCTTCCCTCTTCCCTTCCTCTAAATTAGTGTGAACCTAGGTTACCACAGCCTCCTTTCTAGACTCAATTGCTGTCGCCTCATCCAACCCAGTATCCCTAGGATTTGACTGCAACTCACCCACCTCCTCTACCACAAGACCCATAAGCTCAAGATCCCTTGCAATGAGCTTTACTACCTCTACTTGCTCCTTAACAGCATCCTCAATTGGACTATTCTTAGCATCATTCTCAACACTTTTTGTACCGGTAACCTCCTTCGATGGACCTCCCCTAGGTGGGGCATCCTTCTTCTTCCTACCTTTACCACCCATTCCCGGCGTTTTTAGCAAACCGCCATGCCTGCGTACGATAGCAAAAAGAAGTTATCGTGTGCCTGTAGAGCAGTTAACAAAAATGAGCGATTCTTTTTAATACAAAAAATCATAATTTTTCGTCTTTTGATAATAATATTTTAAGTTGTGTTAAATAGTTTGAAATTGTTGGAACTTGTGTATATTAGGAAGAATTAAAAAAATAAAAGAATTTCTACGTTTACTCATTTGCTCAATTATAATTAAGTAAAATGGACTCATGACTTGTAGGTTTTGGATTTAGACTTTGTCCATTTACATTTTTATTTAGAATGGACAGTTAGGCACTTAGGGCATCGATCTGCTAGAAAATATTTTTTATTAATTTTAAAATTTTTAATTGAATTTTTGAAATTTAAAATTGAAGGTACAAATCTGAAATTTAAACATAACTTTTAACTGATGTCTTTTTTAAATGGTGTCTTTCTACAATCGTGAGGTAGTAGCATTGAAGGTCGCAAAACTAGCATATACATCTTTTAATCTAGGCATAACTCCCTTGAAACCCTTATAATTGTTTGTTTTTGATACTTAACTCCTCAACATGCACTTTGTATGCTTTAATCTACAATTTTCACGTTATCATTGTAATTACTTAAAATAAATAGAATTCCATCATATGAGCATAGCTATCTCTTTTTCATTACCCTCTCATTGTTAGTTGCATGTCAACATATATATGGTTTACTTGAACCATAGAGGTCAAAAAATCTCACTTAAAGCACACAGTCATCTCATTCTAGTGGGATTTGTGCTTTTTTTTTTTTTTTT